CGCAAATCACACTCAAGAAACAAAGTTCTTAAATGTTCGCTCAAAGAGACAAGCATAATCTCTCTGCGCTTGTCTTACTGTTCCAACTTGCTTCACTGCACTAGATTTCATTCACATCTGTTCGATGGCCTCGAGCTGTCTTGCGTGTAGTGCTCAGAACTTGGCATCAGTCACAGATCTGGTAAACTCTTAGGTGAATTAGTTGTGGGTGGTCGTAGTAACTAGTAATCATGCTTGTCCTAGATGAGTGTTTTTACTTATGATTTTTTATGATGTTTGAAGCTGCTCAGGTTAGATATTTTGTATGCTTTAGGTACTTGAAGACGCTATATAAATCAATGTACCCACAGATTGGAACTTTAATGAAAATATAATAAGTTTCAAGGAAATCATTTGGTATCAGAGCAGTATGAAGACTCGTGCTCGAGTGGTAGGAAGATCCACGAGACGCTTCTCCTAAATTGGTGTATTTAGTCTCTGATTTCTTCTCCGTGCCACCAAATCTTATAAGTTTGTACTGGACTTCCACAATTTCAACTTTCAATACTACATTACAGTGAAGCTCGAATCCAACATTTCCTCATATGGAAATCTCAAATGACTACCAAATATTCGCATTAGGGCATGCTCGGAGCATTATTTACATTTGATAATTGTTACATTGGAACCATCTCATCCATGAGTTCCCTTATTCGCTTAGCCCATAATCGTTCATTGATCGAAACTTTGGAAAAGCCTGTGTGCAACATCGCCAAGTTAATGTGGTAATGCAAGGATTGATTGTGCACATTGCTTACTTGCGTCTACACTGCCACGTCTCGATCTTATCCATTTATTCACTTCTCTGCTGACTCAAAGTGATCAGGTATGGCAAATTCTTAGGAGAAGCAGGTTTTGACCTTCGTTTGTTTCTGAACCACAAGACTTTCTCATATTCTGCACTCCTCAAACTAAGATAAGCTCCTAATCAACTTCAGGACTGTGCATTTTGACATTCCTGGCTTAATTGAAATCATCTTATTCAATGGAGGATGCGACATATCTCTCTCAAATTAAAGATCTGGCAGCACAGCTGGCTTTAGCCTTCTGCATTAAGAGAATCTGAGTTTAAGACATTAATAATGGATGGAATAGAATTACAGTGGTCTTATTGACAATCACTTACATAAGATTTAGACGATGAGAACTCTACATCAGAAGTATAGGAATATTGAGGCTTATCAATAATTAGCTAGTTAAGATTCGGGTAGTCTCGCGTTTTCTGAGCCCTTATAATCACTAAATTGGAATGTAATTTCTGGATAGTCGTGCTTTTGTGAATGTGCCGTATCATACCCATTTCACGTCCATTGCACGAGTTTTCAAAACTTATTATCAGTCTCTCTTTTCGAATCTGTATCGCTTCATGTTGCTCTATTCTGCTTTCTAACTACAGTAGTCCTCTTCAGTTTATTGTGATTAACTGCCTACCAATTCTGTTAATAAGAGGTTTTCATAGTTCTGCAGATAAGAAAGGCAGATAGACGTTTCTCCTTCTAGTAGGACTTCACTAGAGTTGGTCAAAGACTTATTAGATATTGTCTCTCTTGATTTTATGATATGAGTGCAGTAGTGTACTAATCAGTTTTCTGAAATTGCTTAAATTATTACAGATATTACGAAACAAATGTAAACAATATTACATATATGTCCAAATTAACTAGTATCCCTGAGGAAAACCTTTTTTGCTCACTCGTTTTCTGGATCTAACTCTGGCTGCCAGATTTGTGGAGGTGGTGGGCAATCCTTTATAGTGCCATACTGCATTAATTTGATTTTTGCATGAAGTCATTGGATCGTGCCGCATTTTCCTTACTTTACAGGCCTCTATCATTGTCCTTCTTGTGATGCCGTCCTTATGTCATGTTTTACTCTGTCAGTCTACAAGGCTTATGCTTGCTTCAGTTCTCTCTGTGAATAGTCCGTCTTACTTCAGTTCTATTTTGTAGTGGTCCCCTCTTTCTGATCCACGGGTTCCCATCATACCTCGCATTTGTGTATTGTTGAATCTTCTTAGACCTGCGCTAATACCAATGTAATCTGTACGTCAAATGAACGCTATTCTAACATTCTGTTTTGGCAACCTTATATTTCGAACTGTCCTTTATGAAAAGAGTTCGCGCTCAAGATCATTTACTCAGAAATATGGATTAATGATCCGTTCAATTATCCTTGCTCAAATCGCGAGTCATTACTCTGAATTGGTAAAGGTTATAGTGTGTGCCAAACTTCCGCTATGATATTTATGGAATTATTGCTTTTCCCTATTTCTCCATTACTTATAGACTATTCTCCATTTGTTACCTTAGACTGATCCTTTCTTACAAACCCTTCTGTTATTATTCGTTGGGCTCTAACTTCTTATCTCTGTTCATCAATTTTCAGTCCTAATTAAAGTACTCCTTCAAATTGCGCTTGTTATTTTTGATGTCTAAATATATTTTGTCATTCAGGACAATGTTATAGGCGCTGATCAATCGCGTGAACGAACAGAGATTGCCCTGTCAAAGAAAGCTGGTTGTACACATCAATGCTTCGCGGAGTTCTTCAGTTTTTGCGATTCCCTTCCATACGTTGAACCATGCTCCTCCATCCATCCAGTTTTTCACTTCTAGCACTACTGCTCCTTGCTGTCTGATAGCAAGACTACTCTCCATCACAGACTAGCACTCCAACAATACTCTTGTTTCAGTCCAGCCAATATTCCAGCATCTGTGGCGGAGGGTTCTGCATAGATATTGACCTTGTTGTCTTTTATGGTCAATGTTTTGTTGGGGTCGGTGCCAGATCATAGATAGTTGCCATCCTATACTTCGTTTTATTATGCTTTCTGATATACATTCACTTGTCGATGTTTTTACTCAAAATCAGATATTGGTGCTTCCATTAGGCGTTTCCTGTTCTTTTTTGCCTGTGATTATATGCTTGGTGATTGTGATAAATCTCATAGAACTTCCTTTCACATTGTCTAATACTTAGTGTTGTGAACAGCTCTGATGCTATCTGTGCTCTTGTCATCTCTCAATAGTGATTAGTTATTGGGACGTCACCTTGGTCTACCTGTGTATACTTGTAATAGTATTGTATAGTCTCCAATATTTTTCGTTTCTATGTGTTTTGCTTTTTGGGATGACTATAGTAGAATTTACTTGGGTTTATCCTTTGAATCTACCAAAGAGTGAGTAGATGTGATTATGATAAACTTGGCACAGTTAAGCTACTATTCAAAGCATTGATAGACAATTACGTAGGTTTCTAGACTTCACTCTTAAGTTATTTATAATTTTGCTTCCACACACCATCACTAGGATCTGACTTGATTTATGTGTGCACTGAGTGTCCAATAATAATTTAATAATACAGTGAGTCGCATCACTCTCTGTTGTCTATGGATTCTTCTCATGGCATTGTTCATCAAAGTAGTTGTCCTTATACTCAGGCCCAAAATGGCATAGCTGAACGCAAACACAGACACATTATTGAAAGTACTATCACATTGCTTCATCACTCATCTGTTCCCATTAAGTTTTGGTTTGATGCTGTTGCCACATCCACATTCCTCATTAACAGAATGCCTTCTAGTATTTTACATCACAAGACACCTTTT